GCCAAGAATCCAGGGCACCGCGAGGCTGCCAGGAGAGGAACGCCCGCGGCCGCTCCGCTGCTCCTGCCTATTGTTTAAAGAGCTGGTGCATGCATAGGGCTGGGGGGTGGCTGTGGGGACCACAGCCCCGGGGCTGGTGCCCCTCCTGGGGCTGGAGCGCAGGTCCTGCACATCCCACATCCCCTGTGCTGAGCCCCAGCTCTGAGCAGCCAGGACACGTTGTTGGGGTGGGATATTGGCACAGTGGTGGGTGATGGTTGGTACCGTGGTGGGTGACGGTTGGCACCGTGGTGGGTGACGAGGGGATGGTGGTGACTCCATGCCCCTGCTCCTCTGCAGAGCCTGGAGCTGAAGGTGCCGGTGCTCTCCATGTTCGATTTGGTCTCCACCTTCTGCAACGACATCGTCAGCTCTGCCCAGAGCTTCATCTCCTCCACTTGGACCTTCTACCTGCAGGCAGACAATGGCAAAGTCGTGGTGTTCCAGGTGGGGGTGTCCCCGCGTTCCCTCTCTGATGGCTGTGAGGGGGGTCGGTTCCCCCTTGCTCATCCTTTCTCCCTCTTTCCCTGCTGACCCACCAGTCCCAGCCTGAGATGGAGTATCCAGTCCTTGCAGTGCCGGAGACCCAGCCAGCGCAGCCAGGACCGGGACCTGGTCCCCATGTCCCCCAGCCCCACACAGGTTTGGGAGGGGGGGGGGGGGGATTTTGATGCTGGTTTGGGGGTTGGGAGCTTCCAATCCCTTCTGTCTCTCACCCCATTTCCCCAGAGGTGAACAAATCACCCCCTTCCCAGGTCTGGTTACATTCCCATGCCCATGCAGGGGGGTGAGCCTGGACATGGGACCCTCTCCAAGAAGCTGCTGGGATCCTCCGTGGGCAGAGGGTTCCCGGGGGGAGAGGGGAGCACTGGCACCCCTGCATCACACCATGGGGAACAGGGCAGGGTGCCCACAGTGGGTGCCAAGCTCAGCATCACCTCTGCCCCTCCAGGCCCCCGGGTGAAGGGGGAGAAGCCCCCGGGGAAGGAGCCAAGGGGTAAAGCCAAGGGGCAGCACCCAGAGCCGCCGCCGCCGGAGCACGACTTCCTGGGCTGCATGTCCAAGTAAGTGCAGCGGGGCTGCGCGGGGCTGTGCTGCAACAGGGCCCCCCCCGCCCCAATTCCCACCCCGTGCCCTGCCATAAACCGGTCTCTTCTCTTTGGCGGGGGGTGGTGGGGTGCTACAGGCGCTCGGGCCTTCCTCGCTGGATCCTGGCCGCCTGCCTCTTCCTCTCCATCATGGTGATGCTGTGGCTGAGCTGTGCCAGTCTGGTGACTGCCCCCGAGCAGCACGTCAAGACACAGGTACATGGGGTGAGGGGTGCTCAGCGCAGCTGGGTGGGACCCTATGGGGATCCCCAACACCCCAGGTCTCCCCATCGTGGCTGGGTGAGCCTTTTGGGGCTGAGATGTGGCCATACAGAGTGTGTGGTCCCCAGCCATTGTGCTGAGCTCACTGGCACGTCCATGCCGTGTGGTACTTCTCCAACCAGCCCCATGGTGTCCCTGGGCTGCTCCAGGGCTGCACAATCCCCTCTTCCTCTCTTCCAGCCTCTGAGCATCAATGGGGACAAGGAGTACCTGGAGGACCTGGATGGCCCCAGCGCCTTCCCCCTGCCGCCCGTCATCGCTGTCACCCTCTGCCCCGAACACGGTGGCGAGGACGCGGGGCCGCTGCCCCTCAAAGTCGACCTGGACAAGACCATCCTGTAGCGCTCCCACCCCTTCCCGTCCCCTCTGTCACCATCCCCATGGCATCATCCCAGGTCCTGCTCCGCTGCCCCATGTCCCAGCTCCTGGAGGAGCATCTCTGGCTCTGGCACGGGGAGAGCCTGGCTCGGTCCCACTCTCATCCCCAGGGATGGCCACTGGGAGCCAGGCGGTGGCTTTGCCTGCTCCGGAGATGTGCTGCTTGCTGGGATCCTGGTTTCCAGCACTCGGGAGCCAAGAGCGGAGCTGCCAGAGCGGGGAGGCCGGGGGAGCCCGCTCTCGTGGTGGGGAGGTCCCACCCCTCCCGACCGGAGCCCCCCGGGCCCCGCAGCCCTCCGGGCACGGGTCCAGCGCTGGGCAGGAGGGAGCCGGCTGCGGTGGGGGATGGAGAGCGTCTGCAGCGCTCTGGGCCTTGGCTCCGCACATCCCCGGCCTCCCACCTTGGGCTGAGCCTCCAAGGCGCCGTCTCTGAGCCCTGGGAACTCCCTTCCGCCGGCCGGAGCCGATTGCCTCGGGGAGCCGAAACGTGGCGAATGGATTTGGCGTTGGCAGCCGGCGAGGGGAGCGGATCCCGCTGCACCCGTGCCCACGCGAGGACCCAGCCGGCCCCTTCCCGGCGCTGCGGAGGGGCCCTGCGATGGCTCCTTCCCCTCCCTGCCCCGTGATGTCTTTGGGGCGCCTGGTCCCAGGGCCCAAGGGTTGATGGTGGGACCAAGCAGGGGACCAGGCGGCGTTTCCCTGCCTCGTGCTGCTCGGGCAGGAGGTGGGAGCTGCTGGGATGCCTCTGCCTGGGCTCCCCATCCCTGCTTGGTGCGGAGCTGTAGCTGACGGCAGGACCTAGCAGCAGCCGGCCTCCAGGCTCACAGCCCTGGAAGCGAGGGCCCATCCCTAGGGTCTCCCAGCCAAGTGTGAGCCAGGGCATCTCCCCATCTCCCCACCATTCTCCATCACTTGACTTTGTGCATCATTTCATGGCTTGATCTGCGCCAGCATGTGGTTCACTGGCCCCTGGTGCTCTGTGCCCGGCGGTGGCAGTCCCTGACATCCCCGTATCACCTAACACATCTGTACAGATTAACTTATTGTGACCCCCTCCCTGAGTTTTTAGGCTCTTTCCATGTGCTGGCTGCTCCCTGCGGTCTCGGGGGGCTGTGGTGTAGTGGGGCAGGGGACTCTTGTCCCCATCCCACCACTGTTGTGCTGCTCCGTGTCACTTATACGCATGTGACATATCCGGCTTTGGGGAGTGGGGCTGGGGGGCGAAGGGGGTCTCGTGTCTGTTTTGGGGTACACTTCTCGTTGTCACTTGGCTCAGTGTAAAGCTCATGGAGTCTGTGGTGTTGTCCGGGCCACGGCGGCTCTCCCCATCCCTGGGGTGCAACCACATGGGGCCGTGGGCTTCCCAAGGGCAAACCCAGCCCCAGGCTGGGCAGCGTGGGCAGAGGTGGAATAAAAGGTTTGTACCAGACCTGGATGAGTTGTTGGCTTCACTGGTGCCCATCACCAGCAGGTTCGAGCCCTTGTGTGGGTCTGTTCCCAGCTCATGTCCCAAAGCTGAGCCAGGATGAAACCTCCAGCAAACTGGAGAGAAATCCCCTGCTTGGGCTGTTTTGCACTGACATGGAGTGAGGGACATGGAGTGATGGACATGGAACGATGGACATGGAGCAATGGACATGGAGCAACAGATGTGGAGCAATGGACATGGAGCGATGGACATGAAGCAATGGACATGGAGCAACGGATGTGGAGCAATGGACATGGAGCAATGGACATGGAAAGATGGACATGAAGCAATGGACATGGAGCCATGGACATGGAGCGATGGACATGGAGCAATGGACATGGAGCAATGGACATGGAACAATGGACATGGAGCAACAGATGTGGAGCAATGAACATGGAATGATGGACATGGAGCAATGGACATGGAATGATGGATGTGGAGTAGTGGACATCGAGCGATGGACATGGAGCGATGCTCCTCTGTGCTGCAGGGCTGTCAGGTCCCATGCATCAAGAGAGCCAGCATCGTGTACAAGGGGATGCTGTGCTCCGTGGGGAGCTGGTGTGGGGTGGGTGTGCTCGGTGGGTGCTGGGAAGGTGTGGGGTGAGCAGGGATCTCCGCTGCGAGGAGGAGGAGGAGGATGCTGACCACCGTGGGGATGATGCTCTCAGGCGCACACAGAGAGAAGGGCTGGGGGACGAGGGCTTTTCCCACTGACATCACCCACCGGAGACATCCCGGTGCCCGTTCCCAGGAGGAAAACCACAGCCGGGGCCATGCCCCCGTGAGCCTGGCGAGGGCCGGGACACGCTCCCCCACGCTCCCACCTTTCGCCCGCACGTGGAGCGGGTTTGTCCTGGCACTGCTCCCACGTCCACGCCGCAGTGGAGCTCTCCCCATGCCAAGCACGACACAAAAGCTCACGCAAGGGCCTCCAGGCTCGTTTTTAGCACTTCAGTAGCTCAGCAGGGTCCCGTGCTCGAGCCAGCAGCAGCACGGGGCCCCCGAGGAGCTGGGGCTGGGAGCTGGCCTCGGCTGCTTGTTTAAGCTGGGATGCGGAGCCGGGAATGAGGAGGTGCTGCCCGACCCCCGCGGGGCTGCGGATGGATGCTGGGGTGCTTGTTACGAGTCACAGCCAAAGAAAGAGCTCCAAAGAGCTGCCAGAGCACGGCCTCTGCTATCCCTGCATCGGGATTTAGGCAATGCCGGGGGGATGCCGAGCTCTGTGCCTGGGATCAGCTCCCTAAACAGAGGGCACAGGGATGGGGTTTGCAGCCCACTGCCTGCCCTGCCCATGTGGAGGATGCTCTGATGCAGCAGGCAGCGTGTGCCATGGCCATGTTGCAGGAATGCTGGGGTGTGGGGCTTGCACGGGGTCCCCAGCAGGCTGCAGGGTGCCTCCGGGTCCCAGGGGTGCCTCGGGGTGTCAGGGTGTGCAGAGGGGGGTCGGGGGCTGGCAGGACAAGAGGGAAGGGCTGAGAGATGGGAGCCTAGTGCTGAGCAGCCTTTGGGGCAGGGACAAACTGGTGATGCAGGGGCAAGAGTCCCCGGGCCACAACCAAGCCCGGCTGCCCCCAGATGGCGTGTCAGGAGGTGTCTTTCTCCAGCACCTTCCACACATAGCACAAGGTATTGGTGCTGAGCCCCATCGCGGGCTGCGTGAGGGTGCTGGCAGCCCCCAGACCCCCTGCAGTGATGGAGCAGCGGTTGGGTGCCAGAAGGAGCAGGCAGGAGTGAGACCCCCACACAGGGCTCGCTCTGCATCCCTGGCCAGGGACTGGTGGGAAGGTGCAGGATGGGTGCAGACAGCTGGAGACCCAGCTCAGAGCACGTCCCCTCCTGGGGTGGGATCCCTGGACAAGCTCCTTGCCTTTGAGCTGGAGTCAGATTCCTCGCTGCTGGCCCGGGGTGCAGGAACCATGCCCAGGAGCAGGTGAGGAGGAACCCCACTCTAACGAGAAGGAGACGCATGAAATCAGCTGGTTCCACTCCCCGCAGCAGGCAGCCGGGGCTTCCATCCGATGCTTTTTTCCTTCTCGCTCCCCCTTTTTCTCGCAGGAGAAGCAGGATTCATGGTGTGTGGCCCCGTCAGCCACGGGCCAGCCAGCCCACGGCGGAATTGCACCCTCCAGCCCGTGGCAACCGTGAGTCCATGGTGGGTCACATCCTTGCAGTGAGCATCCTTGTGCCCAGCCACAGGAACCGCAGCTGGTTGGGGTTGGCAGCCCCCCGGCTGCTCTCTCTGTGCTGCTTTGGGCTGTTCTCACCTCCAGAACAAGACCCTTCCTTTCTAACCCCCCCCAAGTCTCCGCTGTCAGGCTCTGTCCTGGCTCCACTGTCCAGAGGAGCCAGGCCATGCAGTGAATGCATTCCCACATGGATTTCCCTCCTCTCTTGCCATCTGCTCCCAGTGGTGTTGTTCAGCCTATTTCTCATCACCTCACCTGTGCTGAGGAGGACTTGAGGAGCACTCACAGCTCCTTGTCCCACTGCTGGGTGTCCAGAGCCCTGTGCTGTGTCCCAGTGGGATGTCTCTGCTTGGGAAAAGCATGGTCCATGGATGCTGCACAAGACAGAAAGCCCAGGACTGGGGCAGCAAGGTGGGGAAGGGCTCAGAGAAGCCCCTGCCTTGCACATACACATCTGCCAACCCCCATCTTCATGGTTTGCGACTGATTCTCCCAGTTCAGAGTGGACACGGTGTTGGTTCATTTGGGTCTGCACCCATTGCTCCCCTTCCCACTCACATCCCAGGGAGATGCTGCTGGACACAAAGCAGCCATTGGGAGGTTTCTTATTCTTGCTTCATGTTGGAGGAATGAGGGTCTTTCATGAGAAAGCCCAATCTGGGTAAAACAGCAGCTCTGGGCCCTGCCAGAGCAGAGCTTTTGAAGATGGAGAAAGAGCCAGGGCTCCTCTCTCAGCTGGGGAAGGATGTTTTCGAGCTGCTCCAGCTGCCTCTCGCTGCCCCTGGCCCAGCTCCTGCTTGCACATGGCTGCAATCCTGCGCTGTCCTGACCGACACAGAGCTGTAAACTCAGCTTTAACTCCAGTGCTCGTCAGTCTCCATGCAGGGATGGAGTGCGGGTGAGGATGCGGGTGAGGATGCAGGGGTTCAAAGTGAGCTCTGGCAGCACCGCTGCCTTGCAGCGTCTTCCTGACCCTGCGCATGGGAGCTGAGCCCTTGCCCTTATCCATGCTCCTTCAAACCTTCCCCGGCACCACCCCGGAGCTGGCAGCAAGGCTCTCGTGGCCTTCAGAGATGGAAACCTCGTGGTGCTGCCAAAACCAGGCATCCAGGCTGGCAGGGGAGCCCCGAGCCGTGGACAGCAGCCACCTGGGCGAAACACCACCCATGGGTGCCCTCTCCCCATCCTCCTGCCTCTGACCTACCCCAAAGACTCGGAGCCACGGGTGATTCAACAGCAACAAACCCAAACGAAAAACAATCTCCTCGTGCTAATGGGATTGGTTCTGTCCCTACCACGCACATTCCAGCCCGGCTCGAGGGACCGCTCGGGGGGAAGAGGGGGAATAATGAAGCCAAATTATTCTGCATCTCCAAATGTCAGAGTTCAGCACGGTGCCGCTGGCGGGGCCTGGCGCAGCTGCTGTGCCGTGGCCATGCCGTGTGGAAGCCAAGCACCCTCTCGGCAGCCGGCGCGGACGCCTGCGCGCATCCAGCCCGCCGCCAAGTGACATGCATTTTCCATTCCCTGGGCTTCATTACTTCTTGGAACGCAGACCTCGCTCGCCGGGCCATGAGGGGCTTCGCTTCCCTCCGTGTTTATTTTCGCTGCCGTGTGTTCTCCTGCCAGGTGAGGAGCGCAGCCAAGCTGGTCAGGGGAAGCAGGGATGTATGGTTGTGGTTTGGCCGGGTGGATGGGAACCAGGCTCTCTCAAGTGCTGCAGTGGCGACATGGCGAAGCCCCTGGTCACCTCTCCAGGCGCCGGAGCCGTGCCGTTGCCTTCTCGGGGCTGACACGTGTGGGTAATGCTGCAGCATGTGTGGAGGGGCTCCGCTGGACCTCGCCGTGGGGAGTGGACGGAGCGCAGGTCTCATGGAGGAAGGTGCTCAGCCGCTCCCGAGCAGCACCCACGTTGCTGCTCCTGCTCACCCTCAGTGCAGGGCGCAGCAATAGCCACGTTACCAGTGCAGGCATGTGCACACGTGTGTGTTGTCTGTCAGCATCACCGCTCCACGGGGTGGGAAACGCTGCCTGGCCAAAGAGCCAAGTTGTCTCC